AAAAATCAACAGCAGCTAAAAAAAAAAAATCAACAACAGCTAATAAATAAATAAGAAAAAGAAAAACCAGCAAAAACTGAAAAGCCCTCAAACAGTAACAGGTCTGTCTTGGTTATTTTTTTAATTAAACTTTTTGAAACCATTTTTACCTGAAAGAAAGCTTGTAAGACCATTTTCAATCGAGGAATGTCATTTTTAGTAAATTATAAGAGGTGACACTTCAGAGTTTGTGGAGAATGGAATTTTTCCACAAATTTTTGAAGTCCCTCTAAACTGATAAATATCTTAAGATGTTCTATTGCTTGAGAAATAATAATTTTGCTTTGAAAATACAAACGGTGATACTTTCAGGGTGTGTATGCTTTTTTAGCTTTTTGTTTAAAATTTTCAAGGTTATACAAAGTAAAGAAAATAGTATAATTAATCTTTTTGTACACGTCACCAGGTTTGTTAAATAACATTTTGGATTTCATGTTTGATTTTTCCTCTGTTTTGTTCTTGCTGATTTTTAATTTTTTTTTAATTTTATAAATCCTTTTGCTGGGGGCTTGTACAACTCATCACAATCCATACTTCCATCCATTGTGTCAAGCACATTTGTACATTTGTTGCCATCATCATTCTGAAAACATTCTCTTTCTACTTGAGCCCTTGATATCAGCTCCTCATTTTTTCCCCTCCTTTCCCCACCCTCCCTCTTTCCCTCACAAACCCTTGATAATTTATAAATTTTTTATTATTTTTCCATGTCGTACACAGTTTGATGTTTCTTGCTGATTTTTAAAGCAACAAACTAAACCTTACAAGCTAAGCCTCTTACCAACTAAGAACTTTTTAAAAGTCACAATAGTAAATAAATAAATAAGAAATCACATTACAAACACCAGTTACATCCAGAAAACCCCGGTATCTTCATATCATATAATACACATTATTCAATTTTCCTTATTGTCTCAGAATTGTTTTTTACAATTGCTTTATTTACACCAGGAACCAAATAAGGTCCACCTGTTCCAGTCCATCTTTGCTCCCCTTTCCCTTAACTTTCAGCATGTCTATGTGACAAAAACAAAATTGTTTGTTCCCTAGAATTTCCCACATTATAAATTTGATTCTATCTCTGTGGGATCTTAAGCATGTTATTTTGTCCTCAATATTTCTTATAAACTAGTAGATAGATCTAGAGGTTTGATTAGATTTGGGTTCAGTTTTGAGTGTTTTTGGGTTTTTTTTTCTTTTGCAAGAATACTTTACAAAAAAGTGCTTGGTGTTTTATGTAGACTTCAGGTCTGGAATTTATTTGAATTAGAGACAAATTAGTAGGGAAAGGACACAGTGCTGTAGCAGATACTGTTTTCCAGCCGGAAGATCAGCTGCCATGTTACCTGACTCACACCAATGCTAAAGTGGATGAGATCGTCCTGGAGAATCTTCACCTGAATAGTCACATTAGGGAAACTGCCAGAGGACCCCGGTAAGGACACAGTCTCCGTTCTTGATCATTTTTTAAAATGTCACTCCTTTTTTGTTTGCTTCATCTGTACTTTTGAATGTTAATGTCTATTCTAGATACTGTCCTTCCATTGAATCAAAGGTTTTGCGTTTTCCAAACCGCGTGCATCAGGTTTGGTTGGAGCCTGAAGGAATGGATTGCGACCTTATCTACCCCCAAGGTTTATCTGTAACACTACCAGTGGAGTTACAGGAGAAAATGATCACATGCATCAGAGGTTTGGAGAAAGCAAGGATGGTTCATCCAGGTAACGTGGGTCCTGGCGGCCTCCGGTGTACACAGAGCATCATTTTAGCAGGCATCATTTTAGCAGGCAGCATGGAGTTCTTGGATACAGTTGTGGTTACCTAAAAGCTAAGAAGATAAAACTCAACATCTATGCCTTTAGAATAATATTATTTTTATACCCCCCCGCCTGCCCCCCAAAAAAACAAAACTA